CATGCTACCATGCCTGGCTTTACCAGTTTATTATAAACAATATTACCAGCCAGGCATGGTGGAGCACACCTGTAATCCTAGCACTTTGACAGACTCAGGTGGGAGGATTGCTTGAAGCCAGGAGTTCAAGAGCAGCCTGGACAACATAGTGAGATCCCGTCTCTACAAAAAATAACAAAATTAGCCAGGCATGATGACACACACAGTCCCAGCTACTTGGGAGGCTGAGGTGGGAAGATCATTTGAGCCCAGGAGTTGGAGGCTACAGTGAGCTATACTCATGCCACTGCACTCCAGCCTGAAAAACAGGGCAAGACCCTGTTTCTGAAAAAAAAATAATAATAATAATACATAAAAATAAATTTTATTTTATTTTATTTTATTTTTATTTATTTTTATTTTTTGAGACGGAGTCTCGCTCTGTCACCCAGGCTGGAGTGCAGTGGCCGGATCTCAGCTCACTGCAAGCTCCGCCTCCCGGGTTCACGCCATTCTCCTGCCTCAGCCTCCCGAGTAGCTGGGACTACAGGCGCCCGCCACCTCGCCCGGCTAAGTTTTTGTATTTTTAGTAGAGACGGGGTTTCACTGTGTTACCCAGGATGGTCTCGATCTCCTGACCTCGTGATCCGCCTGCCTCGGCCTCCCAAAGTGCTGGGATTACAGGCTTGAGCCACCGCGCCCGGCCATAAAAATAAATTTTAAAAAAGGATATTACAAAGGATACAGATGAAGAGATAAATAGGGTGAGGTATATGGGGGAAGGTGGTCAGAGCCTCCGCACCTTCTCTGGCTGCACCACCCTCTGGGAAGCTGCACTGTGTTCAGCTGTCCAGAGGCTGTCTGCACCTGTCCTTTCACGTGTTTACGGAGGCTTCGTTATGTGGGCGTGATTCATTAAACACTTGGCCATCGTGATCAACTTCACCTTCAGCTCCTCTCTGCCTTCCCTGGAGGCTGGAGGGTGGGGCTGAAAACCCCAACTGTCTAAGTCTGCCTTGGTCTTTCTGGTAACCCAGTCCCATCCTGAATCTACCCAGGGGCTGCCAGTCATGAGTCACCTCATTAACATATAAAAAGACATCACTTTTAAGATTCCAAGGATTTTAGGAGCTGTATGCCAAGAAACTGGGAGGAAGACCAAATATGTATTTCACAATGTCCCAGTGAGGGCATGCCATGAGCTAGAACAAACAGACCAAAGCATTATCGCTTTTTGACTCTTGGGAGGCCCTGAAAGGTTAAGCAACTTGAATGAGTCTTTCAGTCAGATCTTGAACGCAGGCAGTCTGGATCCATGGTCAGTGTTCTTGACTCCTACCTGTCTTGTTAAAAGGTGTTTCCAAATTACAGCTAATCCTAATTTTATTTTATCTTAGCCAGGGATTATATTTTCAACCTTCCAAAATATATATATATATATATATATATATATATATATATATACACACACACACCTTCTAAAATATATATATATGTTAACTGCTGGGCTACTTTTTTGTGTTTTTATGCAATATGCATCTTTCTCTTTCATTTAATACAGAATAAAAGTTGATCATTTCTAACTAAATTAATGGAGTTATTTCTGAGTTTTTATACAGTTGTCTTATGGTGTCCACAGAGGATTGGTTCCAGGACACCCCCTCCACCCCACTCCCACCTCACCCTCAGAGTTTACCAAAATCTTCGAACGCTCAAGTCCCTGATATAAAATGGTGTACTTATTTGCATATAACCTATGCACATCCTCCTTATACTTTTCATTACCTCTAGATTACTTATAATAGCTAATGAAATGTAAATGCTCTGTAAATAGTTGTTATACTGTGTTTTTAAATTTGTCTTATTTTTATTTTTCTAGTGGTATTTTTTATTGTTTGGGGTTTTTCTCTCCACATATTTTTTTATCCTTGGTTGATTGAATCCAAGGATGCAGACCCAGAATATACAGAAGGCTGTTTTGTGGTCGTTTTATTTTTTTGTTTGTTTGTTTCTAACTGACATAATAATTACACATATGAGGCACAGTGTGATGTTTCAATACATGTATACATTGTGTAAAAATCAAATCAGGGTATTTAACATATCCATCACCTCGTACATTTATAATTTCTTTGTAGTGAGGACATTCAGAATACCCCTTTCCTAGCTATTTTGAAATAGCTATTTTGAAATGCAATATTATTAACCACAGTCACACTACTGTGCAATAGAACACTAGAACTTACTCATCCCAACTGTAACTTTGTACCCATTGATCATCTTCTCCCCATGCTCTCCACTCCATTCTCCCCAGGCTCCGGCAGCCTCTATCTTACTATTTCTATGAAATCAACCTCTTTAGATTCCACATGGCCGGGCGCGGTGGGTCAAGCCTGTAATCTCAGCACTTTGGGAGGCCGAGACGGGCGGATCACGAGGTCAGGAGATCGAGACCATCCTGGCTAACACGGTGAAACCCCGTCTCTACTAAAAAATACAAAAAAACTAGCCGGGCGAGGTGGCGGGCGCCTGTAGTCCCAGGTACTCGGGAGGCTGAGGCAGGAGAATGGCGTAAACCCGGGAGGCGGAGCTTGCAGTGAGCTGAGATCCGGCCACAGCACTCCAGCCTGGGCGACAGAGCGAGACTCCGTCTCAAAAAAAAAAAAAAAAAAAAAAAAGATTCCACATATGAGTGAGATCATGTAGTATTTGTCCTTCAGTGCTTATTTCACTTAATGTAACGTCCTCCAGGTTCATCCATGTCGCCACAGATGACAAGATCTCATTCTTTTGTATGGCCAAAGAGTACTCCACTGGGTATATGTACCATATTTTTTTTATCCATTCATCTGTTGATGGACAGTTAGGTTGCTTCCAAATCTTGGCTATTGTGAATAGTGCTGCACTAAACATGAGAGTGCAGATATCTCTTCCACATATTGATTCTATTTCCTTTGGATATATTCCCAGTAGTGAGATTGCTGGATCATATGGTAGTTCCATGAATTACTGCTAAAAGCTAAACATCAGATTTTTATACACATAGATGGCATACATTTATCAGAAATATATCACACTTCATAAATACTTGTACTTTTGACTTCACATTATAATGTAGTATGGCAGAGTATGAGTAATAGCATATCAATTTATTCTCCTCTGTTAATAAACTTTAAAACCAAATACATTAATCTGGGCAAGGTAGTGTGTGCCTGTAATCCCAGCTACTCAAGAGGCTGATGTGGAAGGATCACTTGAGCCCAAGAGTTCAAGACAAGCCTGAACAACATAGCAAGACCTAGTCTAAAAACAAAAAGATACATTAAATATATGACAGCTTATTAATTTGAATTAAGTGAAAGCTGAACATAGTAGCTCACACCTGTAATCCCAGCACTTTGGGAGGCCAAGGCAGGCGGATCAGTTGAGGTCAGGAGTTCAAGACCAGCCTGGCCAACATGGTGAAACCCTGTCTCTATTAAAAATACAAAAATTAGCTGGATATGGTGGCGGGTGCCTCTAATCCCAGCTACTCAGGAAGCTGAGGCAGGAGAATCGCTTGAACCCAAGAGGCAGAGGTTACAGTGAGCCAAGATTGTACCTCTGCACTCCAGCCTGGGCAACAGAGTGAGACTCGGGGGGGGGGAAAAAAAGTTATTTTTCTAGGAGAAAATCTGCTTTGGTTGGTTCAATAGTAAGAACTGACTTTGCCAGTTAAGCTGTGGTAGATATGTTCACTAAATTGGATGAACTAAATCTATAGCCATAATTTGAGGAAATTGAGTTGACAAGTGATACATTAAAAATGGATGTCATTAAAGATGGATTTTGATAATCAAACAGTGTATGACTTTTGACATGTAACTTGTAAGGAGCTCAAAGACTCAAGGGGAGACAGTACTATAACAAGTCTCACAACTTGGTAATGTGAAAAAGGCTTCTTAGCATTTATATATTTTTTTAAAAAAGCAACACCCAAAATAGAAAATAGACCTAGAATTCATATTGAACCTGAGTCTTCTAGTGGAAAGCCATATTGATGCATGAGATACATGAAATAATTGGAGGAGGAAAGGGCAGCCCTACTCATTTCACTTTCACTAAGATATGCTTTTCAAGTAAACAGATAGTATTAAAAAATTAATATTTATGTCTTGCTTGTCCTGTACTAATCATTGTAATGATATTACAGAAGAAAATAAATGTTAACCTTTACAGCCTTATGGATTCAAAACATTTTAAAGTTTTGTGGTTTTTGTATATATATATATATATATTTTTTTTTTAATTGCAGAAAAGTATGGCAGGGCGATCAGTTAAAGACAAGTACAAAAAATATACTCGGATAAAATTGGAGGACATGAAATGGAAACAGTTCAAGAAATGAAAGATGTAAAAATCGCGGCTGTTAAAAGGATTTTTTTTAATGGATTTTGGTCATTTTAAAATGTGCTGGGGCTGAGCGTACTGGCTAACGCCTGTGGTCCCAGTGCTTTGAGAGGCTGAGGTAGGAGGATTGCTTTGGGCCAGGAGTCCAATAACCAGTCTAGGCAACATAGCAAGACTCCCATTTAAAAAAAATAAATAAAGTACAGTGTGCTAGAATATTTGCCCTTTGTAAATATTTAAGGTTACAGTGAGAATTACAGATATCGACCTAAAAAATGTGGGAAGTGAGTTGTATGTATGTGCATATTTTCTGGAGGGAGAGGTGATCCGTAGCTTTCATCAGATTCATTAAAGGCAGGGTATTTGAGCCAGAAAACAATTCAGCGCAGTCAGAGGCCGGGTCACCATCCCTGTAGGTGTACTAGTCACTCTGGCCTCAGCTCATTCCATGTGTCTTTCCTGTACCAACATGCAGATGTATGGATGGTGCGAAAGTGTATCTCCTTTTCTAAATCCCGGTAGAGTTATAAACTCTTAGCTCGGAAACACCTTTCCTGTATATCTCCATCAAATAATTATATTTCTCCTGTGATTATTTCGTGTTTGTAAGTTGGTGGTACCCTCTCTTTCAGTTTGAAGGAAGAAAGTACTGTGAACATGACTTTCAGATGCTCTTTGCCCCTTGCTGTCATCAGTGTGGTAAGTTTTACTGCTGAACGTCAAGTAAAAAGTAAGTTTCCGGCCAGGTGCGGTGGCTCACACCTGTAATCCTAGCACTTTGGGAGGCGGAGGGAGGAGGATCACCTGAGGTCAGGAGTTTGACACCAGCCTGGCCAACATGGGGAAACCCCATCTCTACTAAAAATTCAAAAATTAGCTGGACGTGGTGGCAGGTGCCTGTAATCTCAGTTACTCAAGAGGCTGAGGCAGGAGAATCGCTTTAACCCAGGTGGCAGAGGTTGCAGTGAGCCCAGATTGGGCCACTTCACTCCAGCCTGGGCAACAGAGCAAAACTCCATCTTGGGGGAAAAAAAAAATAAGTTTCCAAATTCCTTAAGTCATTTCACACTGGTGAAGTATCGATGGTAAAGATGGTTTTTGGTGCTCATTATGAATAACTGTTGGATACTTCATCACTCCACTTCCCTATTGTTAATATATAACTAGCTGGAGGAGTATCAAAACCTAGAGAGAATTGATTTTTAAGGACATTTAAGGTAGAGGTATTTTGGGATGAACTAGGACTCCTATCGGGTGGCGATTAGGATTGTGCTTTTCCTGTGTTAACACAACCTTTATCTACTTGCTTTTGGTTTTGCCAGGAAAGAGGCAGGGAAGACATCAGTGAGGTGCTTTCGATGCTTAGGGATGCTTCAGCATTGCTTGCATGGCGCGTAAGCGATGGACTTGCTTGCATGTTGTCCACTTCACTGGTTGCTAATCCCTCTGCTAGGTTTCCAGAGATTGAAGGAACTGAGTAGAATGTTCTAAAGGTTTAATGAAAGAATAAATTAAGTATAGGTTATTAGAAACTGTGCTGGAGATTTCAGTTGTCTATGTTGACAATGACAGAAATAACCAAAAGGCATTCAAGACAGCCCAGTACCTCATTTGGAAAGGAAAACTAGATTCAGAGATGAAACAACAGCCCAAAAACATGGCTACTGAATCAAAAACAAAAACTCAAGATGAAATAAAAACTTTTTTTTAATGTGCTTACTCTGGTAGACACATAAATAAAAAGTTCCTCTACTGGCCAGGTGTGGTGGCTCACACCTATAATCCTAGCACTTTGGGAGGCCAAGGCGGGAGGATCACCTGAGGTCGGGAATTTGAGACCAGCCTGACCAACATGGAGAAACCCCATCTCTACTGAAAATACAAAATTAGCCGGGCGTGGTGGTGCATGCCTGTAATCCCAGCTACTTGGAAGGCTGAGGCAGGAGAATCGCTTGAACCCAGGAGGTGGAGGTTGCAGTGAGCCAAGATGGCACCATTACACTCCAGCCTGGACAACAAGGGCGAAACTCTGTCTCAAAAAAAAAAAAAATGAAAATAGTTCCTTTATTGAGAAAGGCTTAAATGGTTTTTTCCCTCACTGTTTTTCCTTAATTGCTCTCTTGGTAAATAAAGTGCCATGCTTGTTACTTAGTAACATCCTTTGTGTGTTGCTTTCCCACAGGTGAATTCATCATTGGCCGAGTTATCAAAGCCATGAATAACAGCTGGCATCCAGAGTGCTTCCGCTGTGACCTCTGCCAGGAAGTTCTGGCAGATATCGGGTTTGTCAAGAATGCTGGGAGGTAGGTGGATTTTCATCCTTGTCAGATGTGGGTGGATAATGTGACTGTGACAAGATCACGTGTCTTCTCCACGCGGGATGTAAGGCAGTTCTGTAGGACACCGAATTGAGGGCATGGGAACTCAGACACTGCAGTGTGTTGACTGAGTGCTGCTGCTGGGAGAGGACCCTTGCATTGCTGTGCACAGGGCATAACTGCTCCATGCATGGCTGAACTACCAACGGGGGATGTGCCTAGATGGAGTTTCATGAAAATCAGTCAGATATTAGGGTTGGAACACAATTTTCGTGTAGCTTGATTCTGCTCTGTTAAGCACAGGAGTGATTTTTTTAAGAAATGGTGTGTTTAATTTCTTTTCAGAGATAAGGGAAGCATATTTCTTTTTAACCATTAGAAAGAACCTAAAATTTTAAATTTAAGTTTTGGCTCTGTTTAGACACCTGTGTCGCCCCTGTCATAATCGTGAGAAAGCGAGAGGCCTTGGGAAATATATCTGCCAGAAATGCCATGCTATCATCGACGAGCAGCCTCTGATATTCAAGAACGACCCCTACCATCCAGACCATTTCAACTGTGCCAACTGCGGGTACTGGAATTGTTTCTTTTTTATTACACAAGCAGTGGGAATGAAAGACTACATTTATCTATAGTTCTGTTACTCTAGCAAACCAAATTGTTTTTCTCCAATTTTTAGTCTAGAAAATGTTAAACTATAGAAGAGTTAAGAGAATGATATAATGAAACCTGTATACCCTTAATTTTGTTTCACCAGTTAACATTTTGCCAGGCTTGTGTGTATACAGTACATTCTCGTTTCACCCTCCTGTGTATGTGTGTGCGTGTGCATGTATACACATACCTCTAAAATTTCTCATGACTCTCAGTATATATCTCCTGAGAATAAGGGCATTTTCCTATGGAACCACGATACTATTTTTAATTTTTTTTATTTTTCTCTTGAGACAGGGTCTCGCTCTATTGCCCAGGCTGAAGTGCAGTGGGCAGTCATAGCTCACTGCAGCCACATCCTCCTGGGCTCAAGCAATCCTCCCCCCTCAGCCTCCAGAATAGCTGGGACCACAGGCACACGCCACCCTTTTTTAATTTTTTGTAGAGATGGAGTCTTGCTGTGTTGCCCAGACTGGTCTCAAACTCCTGGGCTCAAGCAGTGCACCCATCTCAGCCTCCCAAAGTGCTGGGATTATAGGCATGAGCCACTGCACCTGGTCAGAACCACAATACTCTTATTGTGCCTGAGAAAATTAGCAATAACTGGCCAGGCGTGGTGGCTCACACCTGTAATCCCAGCACTTTGGGAGGCCGAGGCAGGTAGATCACGAGGTCAGGAGATCAAGACCATCCTGGCTAGCACAGTGAAACCCTATCTCTACTAAAAATACAAAAATTAGCCGGGCATGGTGGCAGGCACCTGTAGTCCCAGCTACTCGGGAGGCTGGGGCAGGAGAATGGTGTGAACCCGGGAGGCGGAGCTTGCCGTGAGCCAAGATCGCACCACTGCACTCAGCCTGCATGACAGAGCAAGACTCCGTCTCATTAAAAAAAAGTGAAAAAAAAGAAAACAGTTTGGTCGTATAAGTTCAGCCATCTCATCTTTTATGAATGAATTATCAGTTTGTGCCTTACTTCATTTTCTTACCTATCCTTCCTCTTGGGGGATTCTCCTCTGTCCACTTTTCATTAGCATCTCTCCTAGAGAATTACATAAAAGGGGTGAAATCCGAACAAATCCATTTGACTAATTGGGACCATCTCTGACCAAATGTTTATTGATGCAGGAGACTGAAAATAATATTTAATTTGAGTATTTGGAGAAGGAAATTCTGGGAATTTTATTGTTTATGAAAATAAACCTGTTAACCTATAACTCTTTTCAACAGCTTGTGACAATTTAAATATGTTAGTAAATGGAACTAGTCTCCCAACTTCTCAGTTTGCTTGGAAAGGTCATGTCTTAGTCTATTGTATGCGCTTATAACAGAATACCACAAACTGGGTAATTTGTAACCAGCAGAAATGTATTTGGCTCATGGTTCTGGAGGCTGGAAAGTCCAAGATCAAGGGGCTGGCATCTGGTGAGGACCTTCTGCATCAAAACATAGCAGAGGGCATCACATGGTGGGGGAGAGAAGAGGGGGGAAGGAAGAGAAGGAAGGAGGCTGAACTCGTCCTTTTATAAGGAACCCACCCCCTCAATAACAGCATTAATCCATCCGTGAGGTCAGAGCCTTCATGATGTAATCAACCCTTAGAGGTCTTACTTCCCAACACCTGCACTGGGAATCATGAACTTTGGAGGGCACAGTCACACCATAGCAGGTAGTATTACTGAGTCTACCCTCAGCACTGTGATTATTCCCTGTAACTTTTAAAGGAAGGCAAATGGACTAAAATGTAATGTGATAATATAAGAAGGAAATGATGAATATGCCTGGTGTGTTGGTGTGTATCTGACCTAGTCTTGCATCTTATCCTTTTAAGATACAGATTTTTTGGTAGGAGTCTGAAACCTGTTCGGGCCTATTAATTCAGGTTACTCTGATCACCTCTAAAGGGGGAAAAAGAAGTTTGCAGGAATCGTCATAGTAATGTCTTTAAAAACCTGAAAAGTGTGCTAGCCCCGTCGGTTGGCCGTTTTTCTCTCTTAGTATTAGTATTAAGCTGGCTGTCTTTCTCATGGACAGGAAGGAACTGACTGCCGATGCACGGGAGCTGAAAGGGGAGCTGTACTGCCTGCCATGCCATGATAAAATGGGGGTCCCCATCTGTGGCGCTTGCCGACGGCCCATTGAAGGGCGCGTGGTGAACGCCATGGGCAAGCAGTGGCATGTGGAGGTGAGTTCTGAATGGCAAAGGGCAACCAGTTCTTTCAAATCTCCATGATTAAGGTGTAACCAATACTTTCAAATCTTCATGATTCAGGGGTAACTAGTACTTTCAAATCTCTGTGATTCAGGTGTCCTGGCAAGATTAGGAGAGTCTAAAGATTAAACATGGACATTTTAAAGACAATTGACTTTGCTGACAGTTAAGAATATAGAATGTACACTGCTTTTGTGAATGTCTCAGTAATGATACAGGATGTGCACTTTTGCTCCTAAAGCCTTCTTGAAGCAGGAAGTGCCACGGTCTATATCCAGCAGCAGCTCGTCCTTTATAGGTGCTACTGAGATGCTCACCTCTGTTCTCTTTTTGGGCTATTGTAATAGGCTATGTCTTAAAGTAACCTTTAAAGACAGACACCTGAATTAAAACTGCGAAAGTATTATATTATGAGGCCACTTATGGCCAAATGAAATGACTGTCTCAAACTTTCATTCGTCTTCTCTGAAAATAGGTTAACTTCGGGGTTTCCTTTATTAGATATAAAATATGGCAATTCAAAAATGACCTATAGCAGTTTTTCTTTTCAGCATTTTGTGTGCGCCAAGTGTGAGAAACCCTTTCTTGGACATCGCCATTACGAGAGGAAAGGCCTGGCGTATTGTGAAACCCACTATAACCAGGTATTGACCTTAGTCACTGGGTGCCAGATAGACTTTTATGAACCTAAGCTTATCAGTAGTTTAACTACAAGTAAATCTCTTGGAAGATGTACATTGTTCAGTAGAAATTTGTTTTTAACTTTGTATTTGGGAAATAATTTCAGACTCAGAAGCTAACTATAAAATGGAAAATACAAAGAATACCTGTATGCCTTTCATTCAAGTCCACAGTTCGCTTTATCGTTTCCCGCGCTCGGTCTTCCTGTGTAAAACACGTACTTACGTAAATATTATATACAAGTATGATGGCCGTTTCTAAAGCATTTGCCAGTAAGTTCATCATACTCCTTTACCCCTAAATACTTCAGTGTATATTTCCCAAGAATATGGGACTCTCTAACATAATCGTAGTTATCAATATTGATACCATACTTTAACCCATTTATTCCAATTTTGTCGCTTGAGTCAGTAACATCCTCACAGCACTTTTTCCACTCCCAGACTGGACCCAGCCTGGGGTTGTGATGTTTCTTTAGCCTTCTTAAATCTGGAATATTTCCAGAGCCTTTTCAAATTTTTGATGACATTGACATTTTGGAGGGGTACAGAGGGCCCCTACCCCCTTTTAATAGACTACTTTCCACTTGGGTTCACCTGCTGCTTCTCTGTGCTTAGATGAGGTTATACACAGCAGGTTGCAGCCCCATAACAGTGGCAGGCATCCTCTCAGAACCTTGTCTCTGGAGCACTTTATACCTCTCCTGCCACTGGTGATCTCCCAGGCATGGTGCTGGCCGATAACATCACTATGAATTACAATTTCCTTCCCTCTTTTGTAAGAAAGAAGCAATCTGTGGGCATTCATTTTATGACCATGGAAATGTCCTGTTCCTCATCAACCTGCCCTAGATTTAGCACCCCTTGATGATTCTTGTCTCTGTGCCAGCTGCAAACGACAGTTCTCCAGCCCCACATCCTCCACCCATAGTCTCCACCTCAGGGCTCTGCCTGAGGAACAGCCCACCTCCTCTCCTATCTATAGGTTTATTCATTTATCTGTTTCTTATCCATATGGACTCACAGATTTCTGTATTTTGCATTACTTATTTGGGTGTTCAAACTGTCATCTGGAAAGTTTTTCTTTTTAATTGATGACAGTGAATTACTTTCATTGTAAGAAGTAAAAACTTGTCAAAGAACTTTTACTAATTTTCTCTAGTAGTGATAAATTCTCAATTTAGATAACCAGCTATTTTTAAATGTTCAGTGTTCTAAAATATTTAACACATCTTGAACTTTGACCACCTTTTTGTATTTTCAGCTATTTGGTGATGTTTGCTTCCACTGCAATCGTGTTATAGAAGGTGATGGTAAGTATCTGTGTGAGTTTTAGATTCGTACCACTTTGACACAAAAACACTAGGGTAATGTGGAAATTCAGGTTGGTGATTGCTATTGTTTGGAATGTGATCGTTATCAGTTGCTTTTTCTCTTTCTTTGGCATATTTCCCAAGTAATCTGTAGCAGTAAGATGATAGTATCAAAGAGTTGGATTTGTTACTGATTTATGATACTACTTCCGGTCACTACCACAGTGTTGTATGCCAGCAATCATGGGAACTGTCCCTGGTGGACCCTAAGACTAGTTTCTGTGTCCAGTTTCAGGAAACTCTACAACAACGTTTATTAGGAACGGTTTCATCTGCTATTGTAGTTAGGAAGAGGCACTTTAACCTCCATATACTAAAACCTGGCAGTTATCAGCAAGCATATCTAGGACTTACCACCCTTTGGTAATGTACTTTGGTAATTAGGCTGGGCTGATTGATTGGAACAGAAAGGAAGCAGCTGTGTTTGCTAACAGTCGCTAACACAATTCTGCCAGAGACTTCCTGGCAAAGTTTTGAACAATCCTGTTTTCAGCATGATTCATGGCTCCCTGCAGACATCACCTAATTCAGGAAATACTTTTGAAACACTGTTCATGTGCAGTTTGTGAAAACAACCCAGGAAAACAATCTTTAGTGCCATTGAAAATAAAACTTACCTCCCTCCTCTGTGAAACAGACGCCAGGTGAAAGAAGCTGCAAAGGAAGCTGTCTTGTTACCAGCTCTGGAAAAAAGACTCCTACAGGGGCGAATAAGTTAATGTCTGGATTTTTGAAAATTATATACCTAGTTCATATTTCCGTGTTGGGCCAACAGCAGTAGGGACAGAAACAGCAAGCTCACCTAAACAACATGAGGCATGGACAGTCGCCACATGTGCCCAGGTCTAGGGGGCACAGTTGCTGGTCTAAGACATGGCACACATTTATAACTTCACAGGATACTTAAGGACAGGGAAAGATTAAAGTCAGCCCTCCGTATCCAACAGCTGGATGCAAACATCCGTGGATTCAGCCAACTATGAATCAAAAATATTTAGAGAAAAATAACAGTATAACAATACAAATAATACAGTATAATGACTATTTACATATCATTTGCATTGTACTAGGCATTGTAATTAATCTAGAGATGATCTAAACTATACGAGACAGGACCAGGAGCAGTGGCTCACGCCTGTAATTCCAACACTTTGGGAGGCTGAGGCGGGCAGATCACCTGAGGTCAGGAGTTCAAGACCAGTCTGGCCAACATGGTGAAACCCCGTCTCTACTAAAAATACAAAATATTAGCCGGGTGTGGTGGTGCATGCCTGTAATCCCAGCTACTCGGGAGGCTGAGGCAGGAGAATCACTTGAGGTTGCCGTGAGCCAAGATCACACCATTGCACTCCAGCCTGGGCAACAAGAGCGAAACTTCGTCTCAGAAAAAAAAAAAAGAAGTATACAAGACAATGTACATAGGCTATATGCATTTTATTTTATTTTATTTTATTTTTTCAATTTTATAACTTTATTTGATGTATTTGATGATCAGCAATTAGTTCTCATCCACATTGACTGTCTGTAGATTTTTGAAAGTGGTAACAGGTACATAGGTAACCAAAGTATAGAGTTTATTTGGTGAATCTTCATCCTCATTACGTTTTCTGGACAGCCACACACGGATTCGGTATGGGACATTCCTTATTCCTTTGGCCCAGACAGCTTTGTTGAGCCTGGTATCAATGCGCACAACTGGAGTTCCCATCTCCTTCATGGCAAATTTCCGAATCTCTTTGAGTGCCCGAGGGGCACACTTCTGGAAGCCCCCTCCATGGATGCGCTTGTGAATGTTGATGGTGTATTCTCGGGTCACCACCTCGTTGATGGCAGAACGGCCCTTTTTCTTCTCGCCACCCTTCTTTGCGGGAGCCATTCTGCCGGGTCCAAGCTGGAAAGCTGCTATATGCATTTTATATCAGGGACTTGAGCATCTGAGATTTTGGTATCCTCAAGGCATCCTAGAAACAGCATCCTGCACATACTGAGCAACAACTGTATACATAAAGGTTGAGGGCCGGGTGTGGTGGCTTACACCTGTAATCCCAGCACTTAAGGAGGCCAAGGCAGAAGAATTTCTTGGGGCCAGGCGTTCAAGACCAGCCTGGGCAACATAGCAAGACCCTCCATCTCTACAAAATAAAAATAAAAAATTAGCCAGATATGGTGGCACACACCTGTGGTCCCAGCTACACAGGAGGATGAGATGAGAAGACTGCCTGAGCCCAGGAGTTCGAGCTGTGATCACACCACTGCAGTACAGCCTGGGCAACAGAGCGAGACCCTGTCTGAAAAACAAAAGAAAAGAAGCTCTCAAGAAAGAGGTTCTTTGGCTGGGCATGGTGGCTCATGCCTGTAATCTCAGCATTTTGGGAGACTGAGGCAGGGAGATTGCTTGAGCCCAGGAGTTCAAGACCGGCCTGGGAAACATGGCAAAACTGTGTTTCTACAAAAAATACAAAAATTAGCCAGGTATAAGCCGGGCGCAGTGGCTCACGCCTGTAGTCCCAGCACTTTGGGAGGCCAAGACGGGCGGATCACAAAGTCAAGAGATCGAGACCATCCTGGCCAACATGGTGAAATCCTGTCTCTACTAAAAATACAAAAATTAGCTGGTCGTGGTGGCGCACGCCTGTAGTCCCAGCTACTCAAGAAAATGAGGCAGGAGAATCACTTGAACCCAGGAGGCAGAGGTTGCAGTGAGCCACGATTGTGTCACTGCACTCCAGCCTGGCAACAGAGCAACAGTCCGTATCAAAAAAAAAAATTAGCCAGGTTTAGTGGCGTGCACCTGTAGTCTCAGCTAGTCAGGAGGCTGAGGTGGGAGGATCACTTGAGCCTGGGAGGTTGGGGCTACAGTGAGCCATGATTGTGCCACTGTACTCCAGCCTGGGCAATAGAGCAAGACCCTGTCTCTTTTTTTTTTTTTTTTTTAAGGTTATTGAGAACCTCCACCAAGTGCCACAGACACAGTCGTAGTTCTGTTTTAGAGTTGAAATTCTGAGCTGCCCTGCTCCCCATAAGGATGTATTTCCATGTGACCAGATCTCTTTCCTCTTTCTCTAGTGGTCTCTGCTCTTAATAAGGCCTGGTGTGTGAACTGCTTTGCCTGTTCTACCTGCAACACTAAGTTAACACTCAAGTAAGTCTACGGTTTTGTCCAGTGTGAATCCTAAGACTGAAAACTTTGGGGTGACACTTAAAAAAAATCCTAGAATTTAGAAAAAGAATTATTTGATTTCTTATTTTCTCTTTCTGTTCAGGCCTTCTGAAACTAAAGGTTCTTCCTTTAATTGTTCCCTGTTCTTTTTTCTATTCCTTCTTTGTCCTACTCAAAGGGATAAGTTTGTTGAAATTGACCTAAAGCCAGTCTGCAAACACTGTTATGAGAAAATGCCAGAAGAATTTAAGAGGCGGCTTGCCAAACGGGAGAGAGAAGCAAAGGATAAGGACAAGCAGAAAAAGAAAAAGCCAGTCTGTTTGTAAACTTTTCTATCGCTCTGTCATCATTTTCGCTACTTTCTCCTTTGGTTAGTTCTTTGGAATATGTTTGTGTTCTGTTTCTGTCTTTTGCTTTCTTCCCCCCTCATCACAACTTTTGGGCATGTATTTGTAGTCATCAGAGATTGAAATACAAGTATTTGTCCTGTGTAGAACTGGTCCTTTTGCATAATTGCTAAAATTACAAAGATTAAATGAATACGCTCCATACTTAATACAAGTTTGTGGTCATATATTTCACTTACTCTGTAGAGTCACTCACCTCATTTTTTAAATACCATATGGTGTACATTTCTTTCCTTTTTTTAATGGATTCAAAGGGAAGAATTCTAATCTGTTAATAGAACCTGGAAAAAGTTTTAAAGGATTTTTGTCTGATAACTGTAGCTTTTAAAACCCTGGTTTTTGGTTTCCTTGCCAAAATCATTTAATTGATAAATTATAAGTGTTGTTTGATATTTTTAAAAATGCATATATTCTAAGTTATGTATTAAATTATTTCAGCATGGCCAGGCATGGTGGCTCATGCCTATAATCCCAGCACTTTGGGAAGCCAGAGCGGAAGGATTGCTTGAGCCCAGAATTTTCAGACCAGCCTGGACAACATGCCTAGACCCCATCCATTAAAAAAAAAAAAAAAAAAATTAGCCAGGTGTGGTGGCCCATACCTATAGTCCCAGCTACTCAGGAGGCTGAGGTTGCAGTGAGCCATGACTGTGCCACCACACTCCAGCTTGGGCTCTGACAGAGTGAGACTCTTGTCTCAAAAAAAAAAAAAAAAAAAAAAAACTCTTACAACATGTTTCGTATCTAAGCAAAGTCTATCTGATTTACATAAGACCTCTTCTATGATGTTTGAATATGCATTGATACAATACCCATATGCTATTGTTTATGAATTCATGTCCTCAGTGTCTTCAAACTCTTTTTTTATTTGTGATTTTTATGAGAAGTATTTCAATCTTTGAAATTCTCTTGAATTACTAGCATGATTGTTCCAGTTTTCCCTCAGAGTTACCATTGTGTTTGGAGCTCTAAAAATATTTTGTTTCAGTTTACATGTTTCCTTCTATAAAGAGGAATTAAATGTAAATGTAAGATTAAAACAATGAGGCAGGGCATGGTGGCTCACGCCTGTGATGCCAGCACTTTGAGAGGCCGAGGCAGCAGATCACTTGAGACCAGCCTGGGCAACATGTTGAAACCCCATCTCTACTAAAAATACAAAAAAAATTAGCCAGGCATGGTGGCGGGCGCCTGTAATCCCAGCTACTTGTGAGGCTGAGACAGGAGGATCGCTTGAACCTGAGAGGCAGAGGTTGCAGTGAGCCAGGATCGTGCCACTGCATTCTACCCTGGGCAACAGAGTGAAACTCCGTCTCAAAAAAAAAAAGATTCAAACAGTGGAAAGCTTGCTAAGGTAGTCTCTCTGAAAACAGGAATAATTTTTTTGTGTTTGTCACAAAAATGGCAGTTTTAATAGCTTTTGCTCTAAGAAGACCTTGGGAGAAAAGCCGTAAAATAATTCCCAGTGTGGTGTTTTAAAAGAGAAGATTTTTCATTTTAAATATGTGTTTAGGAATTTCCTTTGTTACTAGTATTGTCCTTTAAAATGATCTTGAAGCAAAGTCTAGTTTAATGTTTAAATGCAGTAAAAAATATCAGTAGATTTTATCATTTTTGTCATAGATAGCAATATACCACTAGATTTATTTCACAAATGCTACCTCAATATGATTTCACGGACAATGAACAAGTTATCAAGTTGTATATTTATTCAATTCAAAATTAAACACTCTGGATTTCAACAGTAATATGCTCCTGTAATTACCTGTTGGAAATGCATTACAGATGGTCAGGAGGCTATCTGAAAAGTTGTCTTCTCCAGGACTGTTTTAAAAATAAATTGATGTGTATTGCCCTAGCTTTTCAAAAGAATAGTTGAGTTCTTCAAATAGCTACCATTTACAATACAACCACAGGTGATTTCGTTACGTTTATGTTAAGAGTGATTGAAAACTTTCTTCCAACCTGTCAGATAACCAAAATAACCCCTTATAATTTAAAATTAATGAAACCTCATGGCTACCTAATTTAAAGTACTAAGTAAGATCATATTGCCTCCAATAAAGAAATCATTCACATTATAAAAATATGATTCTTTCCTTTAGATAAATTTATCTTTAAGGTATTCCCAAGATATTTTAAAATGTGATTACCATCCTGGGCAATACAGCAGGACCCTGTCTCTCCAAAAAAAAATTTTTTTTAAGTTAGCCAGGCATAGTAGTATGCACTTGTGTCCCAGCCATTCAGGAGGTTGAGGTGGGAGGATGACTTGAGTCCAGGAGTTAGAGGCTGCAGTGAGCTGTGATCACCACTGCACTCCAGCCTGGGTGACAGTTGAGGCTCTGTTTCCAAAAAAAAAAGTGATTGACTGTACTTAAGTAAATTATATATGTAATCTACAGTCTGTGTTACACAGGTGGATGTATAGAACCAATTTATAAGGACTTTTTTTTTTCAAATGATACTGAATTTATATATATCTATCACAATAAGAATTGAGGTTAGAATTATGGTTTTTTTACTAACATGAATATAGATATCATCACCTAGTTGCCTTCATTTAGTTCAGTACAATTACTTCACATTATTTATATATCTTTGTTGAATATGTTTCCACTAATTTCTTTTTTTTTTTATAATTATTATCTTTAGGAATAAGTTTGTGGAGTTTGACATGAAGCCAGTCTGTAAGAAGTGCTATGAGAAATTTCCACTGGAGCTGAAGAAAAGACTTAAGAAACTAGCCGAGACCTTAGGAAGGAAATAAGTTGCTTTATTTTTTCTTTTCTATGCAAGATAAGAGATTACCAACATACTTGTCTTGATCTACCCATATTTAAAGCTATATCTCAAAGCAGTTGAGCGAGAAAAGGACCTATATGAATGGTTTTATGCCCTTTTTTAATTAAAAAAAGAAAAATTCATATAATCGTGTTTAAAACACAGATGAAGTCAGTATTCACCTTTGTTAACCCTTATCCATTTGTTGACATGTAGATTGTTTACAAAAAGAAACACATGGTTAAATGTTAAATTTTAATTAGGGCCCCCCAAAATTAAATATAACTTTTTAAAATGAAAGGAGTCACCTTCTACATGACTCAGGTGAAAACACAGTACAAACATGAATTTACTTTGTATTCAAAAGAAAATTCCAACTGCTGTTGGGGAAGGACACAGAAAAAATAACCACCCAAGAAAAACAAAAACAAGAAAAATGAATCTTATACGATCTTAGTATATTTATCAAACGAGTAGCTATAAAGTGAATATACCCATTACTAAGACAAAAAACAAGTGTAATTCAGAACTACTTGATTTTTTTTTTAGTTAAATGCAATAATTATTATACTTAGTTTTATAACCTGCTCTCCTTGTGAATTCTTCCTTCGAATGATTATGTAACACAGTAGGAATAGCTAGCTAGTAGGATGTCTTTTAAATTTTTGTGCAAAAAAATTTATACCAGGCATTTGAAAATATACTTTACAATATTGGAAAATGAAGTATTTTTAATGTATTACAGCAATTATGTTTCTAAGCTTAATGTTAAGCATGTAATCTTAGAATAGGACATGAAATTAAATTGTATGTAGCTTGGAATGTCTTGCTTCAGAAAAGTGAATGTGTATGTCCATCATATTGCCTTTATAACCATGCTGATATCTATGCTTTATACATATTCAAACTTGCCTTGCCTTAAAAAAATACATACTGCATACTTAAATCAGGAATTGTAGCCATCTCACAGAATGCCAACTAAAACTAAGTGCATTGAGATCTGAGATTGGTAAACCCAGATTCATTTACCACAGCTATAATGAAGTTTTTAAAAACTCTCTTCTCCTTTTTTGGGGGAAATCCATTGTTAATTTCTGTCATCTTAGAAGAAAATGATGTTGATAGGTGTTTCAGATTTTCCGTTTCAAATCTTATAATTAATTGGATTTATTTACTACAAGTAGGAGGTATAAATGACACTCTTAAATTGGAAGGAGGAGTGTTTTAGTGTCTGTTTTAGGTCAAAATTAGTGCTTCTACTTTTATCAAAAGTTTTATCCTGAGGTTTCAGGACCACTCTTCCTTAATAAACTTGTTAATGTAAAGCGAGCTTTATGAACATTTAAAAAATGTTGCTGCTGCTTTGTTACTTAAAGAGAAAGTTGCCAAGAGAGACTTCTTAGGGAAAATACTGTGTTTTCCAAAAATTGCTGAAATATTGTTTTGCCATTTTTAAAGAGTCTCAGGTTATTACCACTCTGCCATTAAATATTTGTATGCCTGCATTTTTAAAAATTCTGTGCATGTACGTTATGGAGTACATTCTATTTTTGTTTTCAGATACCCTACAACCAATTATTTTTTTAGTAATCTTTTAAAATTAAAATTATCATAAATGATTGAAAATAATCATCATATAGTTGAAGATTGTATGTATTCAGTAGTTTAAAACAATCTTTGCATTTGACAGTAAGAATCAAAGTCCCTTCAGTGTGCCTTTGTCAGCTAATATGTGACCAGCAATGACAACCTTGGGAATATTTATTAAGTATTATACTATGAATATAGGCAACATAGGACAGGGTTTGCAGTACAGAGTCTTGATGCTAAATTCTCATATACCTCTACACGAGAAATATGGAGCAGGAAAACAAGCATTTACATACATTCTTCATCACTTTGAAGATGCATGGCCTGAACTCAACTGCTTGTGTTTGTTTACGTATCAGGCATAGCCAAGCATCTCCTGTAGCTAGAGGTTCCACTGCTGTCTTTACTCAGTCCTCTTTTAAAATACAAATTAGTGGCCAGATGCAGTGGCTCACACCTGTAATCCCAGCACTTTGGGAGGCCGAGGCGGCTGGATCACGAGGTCAGGAGATCGAGACCATCCTGGCTAACACAGTAAAACCCTGTCTCTACTAAAAATACAAAAAAATTAGCCAGGAGTGGTGACGGGCGCCTATAGTCCCAGCTACTCGGGAGGCTGAGGCAGGAGAATCGCTTGAACCAGGGAGGCAGAGGTTGCAGTGAGCCGAGATCGCGCCACTGCACTGCAGCCTGGGCAACAGAGTGAGACTCCATCTCAAAAACAAAAATAAAAATAGACCGGACATGGTGGCTTATGCCTGTAATCCCAGCACTTTGGGAGGCCGAGGTGGGTAGATCACGAAGTCAGGAGATCGAGACCATCCTGGCTAACACGGTGAAACCCCGTCTCTACTAGAAAAAAATTAGCTGGGCAAGGTGGCGGGCGCCTGTAGTCCCAGCTACTCGGGAGGCTGAGGCAGAAGAATGGCATGAGCCCAGGAGGCAGAGCTTGCAGTGAGCCCAGATCATGCCACTGCACTCCAACCTGGGTGACAGAGCAAGACTCCGTCTCAAATAAAACAATTAAAAAAAAAAAATTATGAATTAGTGTTTTCTAGAATTTCAACTTGCTAAGCCTCTAATATTTAAGGGTAGTTTATCTAGATACAGTACTTTCTTCCCTGATAAGTAGTATCATTGGAGCCCTTAAATATAGGAGAAGAGGAAGAAGTTTAAAAAGTGTAAGTGGGCTGGGCACGGTGGCTCAAGCTTGTAGTCCTAGCACTTTGGGAGGCCGAGGCGGGTGGATCACGAGGTCAGGAGATCGAGACCATCCTGGCTAACATGGTGAAACCCCGTCTCTACTAAAAATACAAAAAATCAGTTGGGCGTGGCGGCCGGCGCCTGTAGTCCCAGCTACTCAGGAGGCTGAGGCAGGAGAATGGCCTGAACCCAGGAGGCAGAGCTCGCAGTGAGCCGAGATCGCGCCACTGTACTCCAGCCTGGGCGACAGAGCGAGACTCCCTCTCAAAAAAAAAAAAAAAAAAAGAATTGTAAGTGGATTAAAAGAGAAACTTGGTCTAGTTCATAATATTTTTAATACGGCTTTCCCTGGCTGCTGGAAAACTTAGGCCAGTAAGCATCTCTTTGTTTCAAGTCCTATAAGACAATTTGAAATAATTCATTGTTCATGCCAAAATTCTAAGTACTGCCGGGCGCGGTGGCTCACGCCTGTAATCCCAGCGCTTTGGGAGGCCGAGGCGGGCGGATCACAAGGTCAGGAGATCGAGACCACGGTGAAACCCCATCTCTACTAAAAATACAAAAAATTAGCCGGGCGCGGTTGTGGGCGCCTGTAGTCCCAGCTACTCGGGAGGCTGAGGCAGGAGAATGGCATGAACCCGGGAGGCAGATCGCGCCACTGCACTCCAGCCTGGGCGACAGAGCGAGACTCCGTCTCAAAAAAAAAAAAAAAAAAAAAATTCTAAGTACTGTTTTTCTTAGCAAGTGTAATATAATCAGGAAAAATGGGTACAAGTAAAACATTCTTTGGATCATACTCATAGCCTTATTAACACTGCACCTGAATAATAGGTCATTTTGCCTCACTCATTTGCCAAAGTAGCCATTTCTAAGTTAAGGAAATTTTTAGGTAGGCTGATAGCCTTGTATTTCATTTTAGATTGTAAGCTCAATGGCAGGGATACTATATCGATCATTATGTTTTCATATAGCAACCATCACAGTATACTCTTGGTGCTTAATAAATGTTTATAATTAACAATAACCTGTTGTATATTGTTTAATTTGAATGGTATATATATGAAATACCTATGAAAATTGAAGTATTCATGAATGTATAATAGAAACAAGTAAATGAATAAAATGACCTGGTTACTATAGATAAGCCAAATTTTAAACCATCTAGAACAATGGTGTAGTCTTCCTTCTATTCAATATAAATGCTGGGTTTTTATTATTATTATTATTATTAAGAAAGGAGATACAGGCCAGGCATGGTGGCTCACACCTGTAATCCCAACACTTTGGGAGGCCGAGGCCAGTGGATCACTTGAGGTCAGGAGTTTGAGACCAGCCTGGCCAACATGGTGAAACCTCATCTCTACTAAAAATACAAAAATTAGTAGGGCGTGGTGGTGTGCACCTGTAGTCCCAGCTACTTGGGAGGCTGAGGCAGGAGAATCGCTTGAACCAAGGAGACAGAGGTTACAGTGAGCTGAGATTGCGCCATTGCACTCCAGCTTGGCTGACAGAGTAAGACCCTGTCTCAAAAAAAAAAAATGGATACAGCTTAATAAAAACATTCAGCCAGCCCTGAGTCACTGTGTGCAGTGTGTTGGGAAGATACCCACTACCAGGGCATTCCTCTTCCAGTGCTTGGCCTGCCCAGCTCTGCATCCACCTTAAATGTAGAGAATCCTGGGGCCTCTGAGTCTTGCATTCCATTTCCTTCCCTGGCGAGGTGAGACAGGTCATTACATCTCCCTGTAGGAGGTATTGGATGGGGTGAGCACAGAGCATGCTAGACCACAGTGGCAGGAGCCCAGGGAGGGGAGGAGACGGGAGGCTTCCTAAAGGAGCTGGATCTTGAGAGATGAACAGAAGTTGGCCAGGCAGGGAAGGAGGATAGGGAGTGGGCATCCCAGGCCCTCTTCCACTCCCGTTTTCTCTATTTCTCTTGGTGGCGTTACCATCAGTGCAGGCTGCCAAGCTAATAACAGTTTGACTTCAATTCCTCCTCCCTACAGCCTACATTTGCCCCCACATCTAACTCCAAAATTCATCACCTCCGCTGTGGAAAGTTCCCAGAAATCTTTATTCTGCTCCTGACTTGCAGCCCCTGCCTGCCTTAGCTGCCCTTGCTAGGTACCCATCAGTCACCTTGCCCTTGCTGTCAGCCTCGGTTTGGCTCGCTGAAGCAGGATAGTCCAAGAAGTCCCAGCTCTCCCATGGCAGCTGGTTGTCCGTGTGTTTTTCTCTCAGTGGCCAATGCAAGTGCCCACAGAATTGATCGTCTTCCCGGATCTTGACCCGCCCTCTTCTAGTAAATGGACCCTTCTCGCTTTTGAGACTCAGCTCAATATCACCTGACTTGTGAAGCCTTTCCTCACTTTTTCAAGCAACAAGTCACCCTCTCTTTGTTCCCCTAGTTCTTGGTATGCACCTCTGTCTCAGTGGTTCTGATGTGCAATTTAAGTATTGGTTTATGTTCCCACCAGAAGGTTGGCTCCCTGAGGGGAAGGACTGTGGCAACTTTATCATTGTATCCTCTGCCAGTCACAGTGCCCAGCCCCCAATAAGAACTCAGTGATCACTGAATGAGTGAGTGAATACGTGGGCAGTATACGTTACGCCCTTGCCATATTCAAGTATTCTAAAAGCTGTTAAAACTAAAAATCAGCACAAAGACCACAACCAGGGTTTTCTTACTAAAAAACAAAAATACCCCTTCCTTGCTTAAAAAAAAAAAGTCAAGGCCGGGCGCGGTGGCTCAAGCCTGTAATCCCAGCACTTTGGGAGGCCGAGACGGGCGGATCACGAGGTCAGGAGATCGAGACCATCCCAACATGGGCTAACATGGTGAAACCCCGTCTCCACTAAAAAATACAAAAAACTAGCCGGGCGAGGTGGCGGGCGCCTGTAGTCCCAGCTACTCGGGAGGCTGAGGCAGGAGAATGGCGTGAACCCGGGAGGCGGAGCTTGCAGTGAGCTGAGATCCGGCCACTGCACTCCAGCCTGGGCGACAGAGCGAGACTCCGTCTCAAAAAAAAAAAAAAAGTCTACTTGGGGCCGAGCATGGTAGCTTACGCCTCTAATGCCAGCACTTTGGGAGGCCACGGCAGAAGGACTGCTTGAGCCCAAGAGTTGAAGACAAGCCTGGGCAACATAGCAAGACCTCAGTTCTATAAAAAATTAAAAATTAGGCAGGTGTGGTGGTGAGACCCCATCTCTACAAACAAATCAGAAAGTTAGGCATGGTGGCACATGCGTATGGTCCCTAGCTACTCTGGAAGCTGAGGATGGCTTGAGTCCAGGTCAAGGCTGCAGTGAGCTATGATCGCACCACTGCACTCTGGCTTGGGCGACAGCAAGACCCTGTCTGAAAAAAAATTAAATTTAAACACAGTCTACTTGGGGAATACTTAGAATGTAAAAACAGGATCTAAAAATACTACACATGATCACAAATATGTGCAAAATGGCCTTTTGTAAAGATGGAGGAAATACATCAAAATGTTACAGAAATGCTTTTTAAATTGTTTGGGGTTTTTTTTGAGAAAGGGGACTCTTCAGGTGGTGTTTTCAGCTTGCCAAAAAAAACTCGATAATAATAGGAAATAGTAACTATTTTTTGAACGTGCTCTGTTAAATGAATTAAATGCATATGCTACAACATTGTTTTCATAATTTTTTAGCAAAATTTTTCCCATAGATGGAGCCATGCTGAACTTTA